GAAGGGGCTCGTCCCTCGCCGGGCTGCTTCTCAAGGCTCGATGAGTGCTGTAGCACTCGATGAGTGCTGTAGCTTCGCAGCCGGCGGGGTGGCCAGCTCAAGCGCCCGCTTGAGGGGTTTGGGGCCGATTTGAAGGTTTCCTTCTCATGACCCTTGGTGCCTGGTTGGCGACAGCAAGCTGTTGAGGAGTCACAGAGTGCACCAACATTAGTGCTGAGTCTCTCTGCCTTAGAGATACCTCCTGAGATGCCGAGAGGCAGAGATTAATCCTGCGGGACCTTGCCTGCGTCGCTGGCTGTTCCCCCGTACCCCTCTCTCCTGATCTCGGGCTGCCCTGTCCGAGATTACCGCTGTATACTTCCCATCCCTGCAACTGGGACCACTTTGACCGTGAATGTTCTTCCGCAATCCGGCCTGTCCGGGAAGGGGACAGGGGACGGGGAGCTCCCTCCGTGCGAGTTTGTTTCTGTGAGGGTGCCCGTCGGACTCCCTCCAGTTCAGTCTTTGGGGTTTGTTTTCTTTTTTTTTTTTTTTTTTTAATTAAATCGTAAAGAGGAGTGTGGTTTTCAAGAACCAAGAGGAGGGAAGGGAAGGAAAGATAAAAGTTTAGACACTGCTAGTTTGACTGTGATAAATGCAATACTTAATTGCTCAGTGTCTGATTTTTCTCTGAGCATCTGTCATCTTGTTAAAAAGTGAACCCAAGTAATGACAGTAAACAATAAAAGGTGGTGGCTTGCCTCCCTTTTTTATACTTCACAAATTTGGGCTTTTTGTAGTTACTTCAGTTAAACTGTCTTTTAGAGTTTATGGGGGGATCGCAATGCCTGGGGGTGGGGGGGGGGACACGGACTGGGACGGGAGGCACAAGACGTGCTACCTGCTCATTCTGCCCCAAGACTGAACTCTGATCCCCGGATCTTATTCATTCCTTCCTGCCGTCAGGTGCCGACCCCCTGCGGAAGAACGAAATGGGACATACGCCCCTGGATTATGCCCGCGAAGGGGAGGTCAAGAGCCTTCTGAAAGCGTCGGAGGCGAAGGTGAGCCCGAGATTCAGGTGACTTTGTGTTTCCTTTCCCGCTGCAAGAACAGTTTTAAAGAAGACCTGGTGCAAGCAATGGAGGAGCGCCTCGGCACACCTCCACCTCCGTGCTTTTTCAAAACGGGTCTGTAGAAATTAATGACACGATGCATAAGGGAAAAAAACCCCACTTCTGAAGTATTTTGGCTGTGTCCGGGGCTGTGTGCCCTCCTCTTCCGTTTTAACATTCCTTCCTCGGCGGTGACCTGCGCGGGACCAGTAACGCTGTCCTGTAACCCCTTGGCAAAAATACAGTAAACTCAGGGGGTTGTTTTTACTCTATTTTCTGAAGTTCCTGGTAAAAGAGCCAGGTCTGAGAATCCAGAGCCCGGCTGCGGGCCTGGGATCCGCGCCTTCACGAGCGCCAGTCCAAGGCAAAAGACCCCCAGCTCCGCTGCCTGGTTGTGAAATGCCCCTCTCACCCCTCCAGCCCCACCGTCGCCTTGAGTGGGCTGCAGCACGCCGTGTCCTGTTTGCGAGTCGCTGTCGTAAGGTATTTTAAAGAGGGGAAAGAACCGCATTTGCCGTAGCAGTTCCAATAAAAACCCCAGGAGTAAGTAGATTTACAGAGTAGCAGGTTATTAGGCAAGGAGGGATCTGCAGCCTGGTGTCAAGGATTTAAAATTCCTGGGTATGAGGCCTTATTCACAGAATCGTAGAAGGGTTTGGGTGGGGAGGGACCTCTAAAGGTCACCTAGTCCAGCCCCCCTGCCGTGGGCAGGGACGTCTTCAACTGGATCAGGTCGCTCAGAGCCCCGTCCAGCCTGACCTGGAATGTGTCCAGGGACGGGGCATCCACCACCTCAAGTAGGAGCAACTAATTATCAGCCGGTAGGAGAGGCCGTCACAGCAGTGATGAGCGATGCCTCTGGAGCATCGTCTCTCCAAGAATCTCAGGCCAGCCAGGGCAGGAAGGCCCCCCCGCTGCCCGGTGAAGGGGGGGTACCGGTGCCACCAGATTGCAAAAGCAGAAACTGAGGCACGAGGAGGCCGGGCTTGCTCACGGTTGCAGCCTTGTCCTCTGACGTTGTGCACCTCGGGGTCTGGTCTACGGGTTTGGGGTTTGAACTCGCGTGCTGGAAACCTGAGGTTAAGAACTTGCCCACAAGTGGAAGATGAAGGTAGTTAAAACTGTGTCAATTACTGCACGTGGCAGGTAATACCGTGAATTAAACCTGCCAGGCAGTCAAAACTGCTGTGCTGTCTGCGCTCACCTAGGAAAATCATCGCTCGAGCAGGAGTTCAAAACCACGCTCCCGAATGCTAAACCTCCGTCCGAAGCGGGGAGACGGTGATCTTTCCTCTTGGGCGCTCCACGCTCCGTCACAGCAAAGGAAACCCTGCAGAGCCGAGGGCTTCTCCTGTCAGCCGGAGGCGCCGCGTGGTCGCTTGGACAGCTCTCCAAGCAAGTTTTAAGGAAGAAAAGTTGAGAATAAAATACTTGGAAGTCTTTGCGAGGAGGAGGTGGGGGGGAATTATCTGCCAGGTAAATGGTCTCCTGGAGCCCAGCGTTGGCAAGGAAACCTGCCCCTAACAGCCTGAAAAGCTGCCTTGGTTTTTACGCTTAACTAATAGATGGAGGAGAGAAAGGAAATATATCTATAGAGATGTTCCTGATGAAAATGATGGTCCTTGTATATAAAACGTAAGACAGTCGAGCCAGCTCGTGATGAATATTCAGCTGGGGGGGATACGGCGCTCCCGGGGTTGCATCCACCCCAGTATCTGCATTCCACCGAGGGTCTTTGAGAATTTATTGCTCATTTTAATCGCTGCTAGAGAATGAATTGGCAGAACTATTACTGGATGGGCACATCCCATAGATTTTATTTACATATCCTTGTGACAGAATAACAAGGAGTTTTCATATGTATTTTTAATTTATTTTGATTTCCTTTATTCTTTTGGAAAGAAAAAAAAAAAAAAGAATCCTGTGCGTGCTTTCCCTGCGCTAAACCACACTCGCCTGGTGTTTAGGACTCTTGAGCTGGTTCGCATTGCTAAACGGTCTGGTGAATTTTAAATCGGCTGTCATGCGTCTGGGGCTAAAAGGAAGGGAGTAGCCCTCGAAACTAGCGTCTTCTGTATAGAACTGGAAGGGAAGCAGCCCCAGGACTGATCTCAGCTCTTCAAGTCTTCCTTTGCCTTTCGACCCCTCTTTCCCCTGGTGTGCTGGGCCCAGTCAGACCCATCCAGTGGTCCCTCCTGTCTCCATCAGTGGCTGCCAGAGGATTTTTAAGGGGTGTTTCAGCCAGGACGAGCACGCAGTTGCCCTTTCCCCAGGCTCTCTTCTGGCAGGCGGTGGTGTGAGGACCTCCTGAAGTGGAGCTTGTGTCCCCTTCGTCACAGTCAATCGCCTCTGGTGGGCCGTGTAGGGGAAACAAACATCCAGCTGTGGCTCAAGCGTAGCCTGCTTTTTCCATCCAGAACATCCTCGGGTTTAAGGGTATTTTATGAGAAAAACGTCTTCTTCGGGTCGCTTGCGAAGTGTCTGTCCATTAAGCCGCACGCAGCCCTGCGTGTAGTGTCAGGGGCAGGGCAGCCTTGCAGCGAAAGCTGATCTTACGCTTTCTGCAAACCCGCAAGAATGACCTCAAGGCGGTGCTTGCCCTTCCCGCGGGAGAACTGCTCTCCGGATCTCCAAAGGCTGTCGTAGCTTGGTTCACGTCCCTGGCACGTTCTGCAGTTTGTCGTCCTCCCTTCCTTTAATCTTTTAAATTCCTTCTCCTGTGAGGCGAAAGATCCTGCCCCCTCCGCGTCTGCAGGTCGTCTCCAAAGGTTTGGTTCTGCTGGTGCTCTGCTTCCGACCCTCTTCCCTCCGAATATTTTCCCGTAAGTGCAGTCACGCTTGGGAAGGGATGCCGTGCTGGGTAAGGGATAACGAAAGCCGGCGAACGCGATTGCCGTGCCCGTCTTAGTGACGGGCAGCCAGCTGTTATCACCTCACGGTTGAGCTCTGCCAAAGCACGGGTAGAGCGAATCTCTTACTAAAAATGAACACCTTCTCTTACTAAAAATGAACACCTCTCACGCTTTTGGCGTCGCGTCACGAGAGCCTCTTAGCCCAGGTGGGCGCAGGAGCCCGGCTGCCTTCGGCGCGAGAGCAGAGGACCGCTCCCTGCATTCCTTTCAGAGCACGTAACGCCGCTGTAATCCGCTTAAGTGCCAGCGATGTGCCGTGAAAGTTCCTTCAGGAGAACCGGAGATCGGTTGTCAGAGGGTGAGGACAACGGTCCCCGCCGACGCCATTTCACTCCGCAAACCAGGAACGGGCGTTCCTTTCTCCGGCTGCTGGTTTCCTCGCCGCCGACGCCGAGGACTGAAGTCGAACGCAAACGAGGTCGAAATGTCGGGCAGAAACGTCTGGCGGGAGCGAGACCCGGGTCAGATGTGCTGCTCCAGCCGCCCCCGGTGTCAAGATAGCAGGGGGGAGGTGGGAGCAGCCCACCTATGCAGGAGGGTGGAGGAGAAAGGAGTGGAAGCTTGTGTCTCGTGTAAAATCTAAGATTAGTGGGGCTTTTTGTTGCAGGTTGTATCACAGACTGATCTAAAATACGTTTTTCTCGGTGGATTTTTCTCCTGCGGGTACCCCCTGGTCGGTGTGGGTCATGGCGGCTGCTCCCGACGCCTCGGGCCGGCAGCGTGACCCGAGTGCGAGATGCCTGGTGGCACTGCAGCTCCGCCGAGGAGATGGCGCGTGGGAGGGCAGGTCTCTCCGGAACAGATCCTGAGCAGAAAACCATAGTGGGAGGGCTTGGAAAAAGCACCGTGACTGGTGCAGTCTTTTACCCCTGAAAGGGACTTTCTTCCTACCCCGGGACTGTAACGATGTCGGTTTTCCAAGGAGGGAGGGAGAGGGCGTTGCAGAAGAGGGGCGTCCCCTCCTGCTCTTCGTCCACGTCTGCCCCCCTCTCCGTAAACCCCGGCGAATCGTTCGGTGTCCTGACAGCACAGATCACGTTCTCTGCACCTTAGGAAAGGCAGAAGAGGCGGGAGGGAGAAAAGATTTGCCAAGGTATGTGGAAAGACACAGATATATGGCAAGAGGGGTGCCGCGAGCCTCGTGGTGTGCACGGAGCCTGGGGGAGATCGCCGTGTCTGTCCCACAGCGCTCCTCCGCTGGGATCCGCCGGGAAGTTATTGCTCCGTATGAGGCAGCAGGGCTGATGGCATCTCTCCGTTACACGCGAGACTGATAGCGCCAGCCAAAATTGGATTGTTTGCTATTTTTTTTATTTTTTTTTTTAACTTCTGTCAGAGTCACTGCTGGCCCAGGAAACACTGGCAACCTGCCTGGGGGGGTTTCAGCCGCTCCGGCTCTGGCAGCAGGATCCTGCCGCAGCCTCTGCGACCGCTTTCTGGTTTTGTTAGAGGTGTTTCCCCTTCAGGAAGGTGGGTTAAATGACGGGGCCAGTCACGTGTGTTAAGTTACTCACTCTGCAGACCCTGTGGGCTCCTTATGTTCTGTCCTTAGCTAAGTCTGGCTTCGTGGGACGGTTGTTTCCAGAGCAGGGGTCTCACTGGTGAGATGGCCGACCTCTGCTTGTGATGGGGAAGGGTGCTCAGCAGAAAGTTTTGCAGCATTTTCTAAAGATGAGCGGCAACTTCGTTCTCACCCTAAATCCAAAACACAGCACTGTACCAGCTGCTAGGAAGGAAATTAACTCTATCCCTGCCGAAACCAGGACAGGCTGGATTCGTCCTCTGTCCTCTAGAAGTTCACTGCACCCTAAGACCTGCTCCCGCTTTGGGATTCTGCCTGTATCCCGTCCCCGAGCGCCTCGGAGATGTGCTTGTGTCGGGTGTCTCTGTAAACCGCACCGTCTCAGCCTTCAGCTCCAGAAAATGATCTGGGTGGAAGGGGTACGTAAGTCACTGGCTCTCAAAGGCCCCGCTTCCTTCTGAGCTGGAGGTGGAAGAAAGCGAACGTCCCGAGTGAAGAGCTTTCCCCAGCGCCGTCCTGCGTGCTGCTGTGGGTTTGTCTGCAGAGCAGTGGCGTCTGACTTCCCCAGCGTGCGCAACAGGAGGCAGTGATGCTCTTCCACCCCTGCGGGCTGTGGTCGGAGTCTTCGAATAGATGTGTGGAGGGTGGGAAAACAAACAAAGGTAGAATAGTCAAGGCCTTATTTTTCGAAATGAGCAAGCTCATAGAATCATAGAATCACAGAATCATTAAGGTTGGAAGAGACCTCCAAGATCATCAAGTCCAACCATCAACCCAACACCCCCATGCCCACTAAACCATGTCCCTCAGCGCCGCATCTACACGTCTTTTAAATACCTCCAGGGATGGGGACTCCACCACTTCCCTGGGCAGCCTGTTCCAAGGTTTAACCACTCTTCCAGTAAAGACATTTTTCCTCACGTCCAATCTAAACCTCCCCTGGCCCAACTTGAGGCCGTTTCCTCTCGTCCTTTCGCCAGTTACTTGGGAGAAGAGACCGACCCCCCCCTCGCTACAGCCTCCTTTCAGGTGGTTGTAGAGAGCCATGAGGTCTCCCCTCAGCCTCCTTTTCTCCAGGCTAAACAACCCCAGCTCCCTCAGCCGCTCCTCATAAGAGAGGATAATACCTCCAGGGATGGGGACTCAACCATAGCGGGTTAAGAGCTCATGGGGAAGTTTGAGCAGTGCCAGCGTTCCCTCTGTTTCACCGTTACAGAGGCAGCGCAGCGTCTGGGTGTTCCCATCAGCTGCAAAGCCGGTTCCCGAGTGCTGCCCACGGCACGGCAGCTCGCCCGCTTCCCTCCGTCCCCGTGCACCCCAGCCTCCATCCCCTGCAGATCCCAGAAATTTCCTCTTGCTGGGGCTGGTGCTTCCAGACTCCTGCCGAAGCTGCGTCTGCCCTGGCTGCTTCCCAGTGCCCGGGAGCAGTGCTCCGTCTGTCCGGGCGTCGGAGAGAAACCCGCGCAGGGCTTCCCAGTCCTGGGGGTGGAAAAACGCTATGTGCATACCCGTTGCTCCCGTTTTTTGCTCCGAAGAGCCTCTGACCCCAACGTTTTCTTCTCTCCCACAGTTCCAGGAGGAGCAGCGCAGGAGGGAGGTGGAGGAACGCCGGAGGTTTCCGCTGGAGCAACGGCTGAAAGAGCACATCATCGGTCAGGAGAGCGCGATAGCGACGGTGGGAGCAGGTAGGACCCCTCGCCCGCCGCCCGCTCTGCCCTCCCACATCTGCTCCACGGGGAAAGCGGGCCATTCCCCTCAAGCCCTGGTCTGAGGCTGCTTCCGAGCAGGTCACCGAGGTTGGTGGGGGACTCACGGTGAGGTCCGGCAGGCATTTCTCAGCTGTGAGAGAGAACTCTTGCTCTTCATCACAAGAGGGGCTGTTTCAGGTGCAGCAGCAGGGAGGCCCATCAGATGCTTTCTTCCCAGGCACTGGAGGGAGGTGCCTACAAGCCCTTTCGTTCAGGATGATTTCTCCCCGGCCCAAGCCTCGTGGCTCAAAGGTCAAAGCTGGTCACTGAGATGCCCGCTGCGTAGCTTTGAGCACGCAGGCGGTTCTCGGCTAAACGCACCGGCTGAACGCGGTGACACTCGGACATCGAGCTGTCTTTTTAAAAGACTGTTTGTCTCAAGAATATCGCTCGTTAATAATTCTCGAGCGGATTTGTGCAGCTTTATGTACAGAAGCCCCTCACACACGGGCTGCTTTGGGGAGTTCTTCTGTATCCCTTACAGATTTGGGGCTTCATTCCACTCAAAATACAAGCGCGTACTTCAGCCACGCTTTCCCGGCCGTGTGTCCTATGTCAGATCAAAGGCCAGTGTCCTGTCGCCGGTACCAGAGCACAGGGAGCTTTAGCAGGACAGATACAGAGCGGTGTTTCCCCGCTCTGCTCTCCCGATGGCCATCAAGTTGCAAGGCCGGAGTACCCTGAGCCAGAAGTTACATCTTTGTGTGCAGCAGCCCTTGAGAGATTTTTTTTCTTCCACGAATTTGTCCCAAGTTTCCCTTGGATCTCCTGTAAACGCCCGGCCTCTGCAGCACCCTTTGGCGGGGAGTTGCGTAGCTAGTGGAGAAATAGACCCTTTTATTCGTTTTAAATCTGCCTCCTGAGGGTTTCGCCTGGTGCCCTCTAGTTCTTGTGTCAAACGAAGCATTTGCTGCTGAGGCAACGGTTGCTCAGCCGAAGCAGCTGCGGTTCATGGCACAAAGCTCTTCTTGCCTCCTAACAGACCGATTTCAGCTGGAGTTCAGAGCCTGGCCCCGCTTTGGTCAGTGGGGGGTTGCGATCCTGAGCTCTGGGAGCGCGTTTGGTGGTGGTTAGCCGTAAGATAGCCAGGCTTTGGGGAGGATGGGATGGACGATAGCTAACGGCAGGGCTCTTTGCCCCCTGAGCTCTTTCCGTCTCTGCCTTTCTGGAGGTGTCGCCAGTAAATACTGACGGTAGCATTAAAGCAAAACCTTCTGCAGCAGCATGTCCCTGTGGTGGTCCCTGCTCTATCCGTGAGCCCGTACAGGTACAAGGGGACACCATCTTCTCTTGCTTTTTCCAC